ACCTTGGGCCCCCTCCCAGGCTGCTGAGTCAGAATCTGCATCTGACAAGATCCACAGTGACTTGGATACACTGTGTAGGGCATTGTAACTGTACCACCAGTGACATGTAACCCCGTGAACATCCTTGGGAGATGAGCCCTGGTCCCATCCAGCGCTTGTTTGGGCGGGCAAGGGGTTACCCTGAAAGAGTGAAGAATGCCAAAAAGAGACGGAGCTGTCCCCTCCAAATGTTACATCTTCATGTTTGCTGTTGAATGTAAGTGATACTCTATTTCTGGCATAAACAAATCCAAAATCTAAATTAGCATAATAATTTTATGAAGACTCTAAATAATTGAGTTCTGTATGCCATAAAGTTCTGATTGTACAGTCTTTCTTCCGCTAATCCTGTATATCTGATCATCTGTACAGTGATCTAAAGATACAAGAAAAACTAGAACTAAACAGAGTATGAGTCTTCTTGCAAATTTGGGATCAATCCCTGCCTTGAATAGGAGTAAAATTTTTCAATTAATGGGAATTCTTTTCTAACTTCTCTTGTGCTAAGCAAGGATCTTACATATATAAGCACGGAGCTTCGTTAGACAAAAGATATGATAATGACTGTGTTTGGCAAACAAGATTTACTTTAGTTTTAAAGAGTTCCTGAAGAGTTTTCTTCATATGCATTTTTTCGTACAACATACTCATGTCAAAGTGTCATTTTGGAACAAATAAGGGGAAATGAATTTACATGACCTGTACTGGAGCCGTGGTGGCACAGTGGTTAAGAGCTATGGCTGCTAAGCAAAAGGTCGGCAGTTCAAATCCACCAGGCGCTCCTTGGAAACCCTATGGGGCAGTTCTACTCTGTCCTCTCAGGTCACTGTTGACTCCACGGCAGGTTTGTGTTTGTTTTTGTTTTTGTTTTTGTTTAATGGGTACTGACCCGAGTAAATTGTGTGTCAGTCCGTATTATTTATCCTTGTAAACAATCAAAAGAGGAGGAGGAAGAACAAACTTGTGCCACTTTGGTGGTCCTCTAGAGGTTCTTCGGTGATGCCCCTGTCTGGCGTCACAATTGACACTGCGTGGCCTGACTTACGTCCTCAGCTGCCGGGGACTACCCGTGTTCAGAGCAGCCATCTTGCTAGTGATTGAAGCTTTCTTGAAGTAATTCTTTTGGGTGGAAATTAAGTGATTTAAAGTGGGGGAGAGACAACCAAAGCCACTTGTCCAGACTAGTGATTACAATTCATCTACGCACTACTTAGCGAGGGCAAAGAAAAAGCCAGTGAGTGGATTTTTTTTATTTTATAATTGATGGTTTAAATTATAAAAGCACATGGGAAACAATGAATGAAAGACGAAAAGAGATTTTTTGATGTTTTATCTGTTTTTTAGCTATGGCACTATCTCAACAGGAACCCAGAGTGAAGTTAGCTGTTACCATTAAGTGTTAGATTTCCTGGCTAAGGCCAAAAGAAAACATTGTTGAATAGCTCTGCTGCAGGAAAAGGGAGCGTAAGAGTTCATCTGAAAAGACAGACTTTGCCAGCATGAAATTTCTGCTTGACTCTTTAAGAAATTGAATAATATATGAGCATTATGTGTCTGTTGAAAAGAATATGGGAATATTCTTCACATCGACGCTATGTATGGGCCCTTTGCAAAACCTGACACCGTAACACGAAATCACAGCTTTGCATCTGCATCACACCCACTAGATGTACGCGCACCCTCAGCCACACACACAGCATTTGTGGTGCCTGTGGGTAGGTATGGACTCAGTCAGTTCATACTGGAATTATCTGGCAAGCGCCAGAACCTCACTGTCAGGTGAAGGCGAACCACATGAAAGCGCAGAACAACCATCAGTAGATGCCAACACGGAGGTGGAAGGGATGTTGGAATTATCTCACATAAGTATTAAAGCCAAACCCAAAAAAAACCTAACCCGTTGCCGTCAAGTCGACTCCAGCTTATAGCAGCCCCATAGCACAGAGTAAGTAGAACTGCCCCACAGGGCTTCCAAGGAGCGCCTGGTCAATTCGAACTGCTGACCTTTTGGTTAGCAGCCGTAGCATTAAAGCAGCCACTATAAAAATGATTTAGTGAACAATTATGAACATGCTTGAAACAAATGTGAAAAAAAAAAATAGAAAGTCTCAGCAAAGAAATAGAAGATATAAAGAAGAACATAATGAGAATTTTAGAATTGAAAAAGGTCACTATGAGTTGAAATTGACTCAATGGCAATGAGTTTTTGAAAAATATAATAATTAAAAATTCACTGTATGGTTCACTAGCAGAGTGGAAGGGACAGAGGGAAGGAATCAGTGAAATTAAGTATAACTGATTCCAACTCATGGCAACCGTATAGGACAGAGTAGAACTGCCCTATAGGATTTCCGGGGAGCGGTTGGTGGACTCAAACTGCTGACCTTTGGTCAGTCATATCACTTAACCACTGTGTCACCAAGGGTCCGACTTAAATATAGGAAATAGAAATTATATGATCTTAATTAGAGAGAAAATAGACTGTTGATACTATAGACCGGTGATTCTCAGCCCTCGTTAACATGAGAATCTCTAAAGGAGCTTTTTGAAAATACGCTTATGTCCAGGTTCTACCCAGAACCATTTAATCATAACCTCTTGGGGTGAGATCCAGACAGCAGTGTTTTTGAAAAGCTCCCTGGTTATTCTGAAGTGCTGCAGGCTGAGAACCGTTATTACTGACCATGAGAACCCAAAGATGTTCTTAGGATGTTTCACTCAGCTTTGGACCCTTTGGATTTGAATGGCTTGTGTTAATGAAAGTGAGCTCCCAGGAGCAATATGAAGGGAAAAGAGATTTCCCCTGGGAAGATCTAATGAGTACGCCAGCGAAGAGCAAAGCAGGTGTCTAAAGAATGGAAGTACCAGAGAGAACGAGAGTGTTGGGACCCAGCAGTGGGGAGGGGACACCTCAGTGTCCAGTAAACAGAGAGGTCGTGTCCACTGATGAGCGACAAGAGGCCGTTGGCTTTGACAGTTAAAGGGTTGTTGACGAGCTTTTCAGAATCACATTCATTAAGGAGTTGGACAGAGTCCAAGTGCAGCATATTGAGAAGGAAATGAGAGATGAGGACTTAGAGGTAAAAAGTGTAAACTGCTCTTTAGTGAAACGAACTTTTTTTACCCAAGTTCACACCTTAACTACTGGTTTGTTCAGTGTTTCTTTTTCTCCTTTATTTGTGTATCCATGGTGTCAAAATTTAAGTTCAGTAAAAACAAAAAAAATTTACTCCAGCCCTTTCCTATAATGATATTCATTATGGAGGTTTCAGGTTATTGTAACTATAAATTATTTACACAGATGTACTGCCTCCCACCCATTTTATTAGGGAGGTTTCAAGTTGTTAGTGTAAATATAGATTATTTATACAGATGTACCGCCTCTCACCACTGAACCTAACCGTCATAAAATTGTATGTTTGCAGGTGAGAAATTCATTAAATGGGGATTGATCTTGGCCATGTTGGAAGGTTTAAGGTACTCTCAACATGGGCTGTTGAACCCACAGAATCTGAGAAGCCCTGGGTCTCATGGGCTGGAGCTCTGGGTGCTCAGGATGGGACCAGGGCTGTTAAAATTAAACCAGCTCATCCGTCTTCTGCTAAGACAAAGGCCTCTCCATTTTTGAGAGTTCATATCCCAGTTATGCTTTCTAATCTCACAGCCCTTGAAATGAGTGTGGAAAGAAATGATGAAACAGCACTCCCAGAAATCAGTCAGAGCTTTGCATATTCTTTTTCTAGAGCAGGTCAGCAAACTTTTTCTGTAAAGGGCCAGATGCTAAATATTGTGGGCCACAAACTGTCTCTGTCATATTCTTGTTACTTTTTTTCAGCCACTTAAAAACATATAATCATTCTTACCCCACAGGCTGTTACAAAAACAGGCCACAGGTCAGATTTGGCTCCCGGGCGCCAGTGTGCCGACCCCTTTTCTAGATGGGTAGAGTTGAGTCTCTCTGCCCATTCACACTGGCATTCTTGAGATAAGGCACCCTTGTCAGAAGGGTGGATTTTAAAATGACATACAGAATGTGGGAGTTGTGTGCTTTCTGCACCCCTTCCCTGCTGGCTCTCCAGGTGATTTTTGCAGGTGCAATCTGAGGTGCTGGAATCCTGGGATTTTGATGTCGCTCTCTAGGCCTGCTAGAACATGAGCTCCATGGGGGCAGCGATTATCCCCTTGTCCACTGATGTGTTCTCAGCCCATGGACACTGCCTGGGAAATAGGCACGTTCATGCGTGTGCTGCTGGTTGGCTTGCCATTTGTCTAGGTGGTATCTGGATCTTTTAAATTAATAGGCTTTCTGCGGTTCCGTCTTACTCTGTCTACATATATACCGTTCGCATAGTATTATGGGTCAGGCACTGCTCTGAGGGCTTCTTGTAATCCCTCCTGCAACCCCATGAGGTCTCGTCACCACCATGTAAAAGGGAGGCCAGGCTCACACAGCTAGTAGTGGAGGAGGGGAGATTTGGACCCAGCCATCCTGGCTGCACTGCCGGGGCTCTGAGGACCACCCCCTGTCCCCCAGGCAAAGCACATAAGCAGTTCATCACAGGTGTCACCACCAGGCTTCCATCCCCTAACAGACTTGAAAGGATCTGCTGGTTTTCACTCCTGTGACTTCTCAAAACTGCATCACCCTTTGAGGAATATAAAAATATCCTGAGAGACATAGAGGTTTGTCAAACCTCATTGAACTGTACACTAAAATTGGGTGCATTTCATTGTACATAAATTATGCCTCAGCAAAGTAGATTTTAAAAAATATGCTAGTCAGAAAGTCAAACCTGATTTGGAAAGCTTTAGTTAGAAGAGAAAGAAAGTCAAGAAACCTTTATTAATCAGAAAAGAGTCAAGCATCTCCAAAATCTTTTTTTTTTTTTTTTTTGTAATGGCCTTGTTTTCCTAAGCCGTTTAAAAATCAAGAGTTCTTTTCCTTTGATTTCCATCCCTAGGGAAAGGAAAACCTCTCCAACGCAAGGTTAAAACACCTAAAAAGCAAGAAGACAAGGAGAAGAGAGGGAGGGGCAAGGTGCAGGAGGACGAGCTGAAGGACTCCGTGGCGGATGACGACAGCTCCTCCACCACCACCGAGACCTCCAACCCAGACACGGAGCCACTGCTCAGAGAGGTGGGAAGCTGATGTTGACAATGAACGAGAGAGAGCACCAGATGAACTCCTAGCTCATAGATAATGTTTCTAAATACAGATTAATGTTTTCTAGTTAACAGATGGGAGCCCTGGTGGTGCAGTGGTTAAGAGCTCAGCTGCTAACCAAAAGGTGGGCAGTTCAAATCCACCAGCTGCTCCTTGGAAACCCTGTGGGGCAGTACTACTCTGTCCTGCAGGGTCGCTATGGGTGGGAATTGACTCGACAGCCGCAGGTTTTAGCTAACACGTGCACGTGTTCTGAGGCTGAGTTTTCATGGTGCACAGCGGTGCCTGATAGTATCCCAGCTTGGTCACCGTCCTGCAGAAACCACTCACAGCTCTGGCTACCAAAGTCTTCATTTCCCCCACGGAAGAACAGTTGGAAACATGTTAATAAAGTAAAATAGCTAGAAGTTGGAAGCACTGCTTGAAAATTAGGGACTACCTGGAACAGTACCTGCACTCTGGCTCATGAAATTTGTTTCCAAAATACAGGTATCAAAAGAGGATGAGAAGGACTTCTAGTCCATTTTAATTATACTGGGCTTTCCCGACACCTCACTGCCGGCACCTGCTGAAGCAGGGATTCAGAGCAGTCATTGTCCCCGCAGGTCAAGCAGTGACTGTCCTGAGGGCCAGGGAGGAGCCCAGACCTCAGTGGGCACCTGGCCGGGGGGGGCCAGCCCTGCCCCGCACACTTCAGCACCCCGCGGTTCTCAGCTCACGGGGCGGTCTTTAACATCAAATGCTGCAAAATGCCTGGCACACACTAGGCATTAGGTAAACAGAAGGTTATTGATGCTGTGAATATGTCGCAGGCAGAGTTATAAGTGATAGAAAATAGGTGTGATTCTACCTTGGCGTTTTTATTTCTAGACACACGTATTTCAAATTTAAAATGATCCTAGCATACACAGCCTTCAGTGTTGTGGCCCAGGATTTTAGTTTGGACCAGGTTTTCCCTTTCAGCCTAGTGACCTAAGGCGTTATTTCCTTAAGGACGCCCCACAGAGCCGTCTGCAGACGTCAGCTGTCAAATAAAAGGGCCGTGTGACTTGGTTCTCCCATCAGCTGCCCTTCCTTTCCCATTCCCTCGCCTTTGCTGTGGGGCACTGTCTGCCCTGAGCACAGTTCACAGCTGGGTTTGGAGTGCTGTGCTTTATAGATTACTTTTTACATAGGTTACTTCAGAGAAGCAGATTGCCATTCAGTAAGCTGAGCGTGATCTCCACAATTACGTGAATATTATTGTTAAGTGCCGTCGAGTCGGCTCCGACTCATAGCGACCCTGTGGACAACAGAACGAAACACTGCCCTGTCCTGCGACATCCTCACGATCATTGTTATGCTTAAGCCCATTGTTGCAGCCACTGTGTCAATCTATCTCATTGAGGGTCTTCCTCTTTTTCGCCTACCCGCCACTTTACCAAACTTGATGTCCTTCTCCAGGGACTGGTCCTTCTGAGGAATAAGCAGGTGAATATTTTCAGCACCGGCCTACTTCACACCTTTCCCTTACTAACCTTCCTGCGTTCACAGCCTCAGAGCACTCCTCAGTGGCCCCTTCTCTCCATCCGAGCCCATCTGCCAGTGTTCTCTGCACTCTCTGCCATAATCCCTCCTCTCACTTGCTCCCGCTTCTCCTTCCATGACATCTGCATCCTTACAGACACAGCTCGGAACTCGTGTCCTCCGTGATGTCTCCATGCCAGTTCTCCCTCTGATCTCTTTTTATCCCTCCTCAGCCCCCTTGGAGCCCTGGTCGTGCAGTGGTTAAGTGCTCGGCTGCTCACCAAAAGGCCAGCAGTTCAAATCCACCAGCTGCTCCTTGGGGAAGTTCTGCTCTGCCCTGTAGGGTCGCTATGAGTCGGAATCGACCCGATGGCATTGGGTTTGGTTTTTTGGTTTAGTCCTCTTATGTACAGGCCACGTGCTTGTATTTCTTTGTGACTGGTTGTGTGTATTATGTATTTTCTTCCCAACTAGATTATAAACTTGACAGGTCATCTTGTCTTGTATGTCTTCTCCTGATCTGCTCTACCCATTCATTCAGCATTTATTTATTAAGTACCTGAGTGCCTGGCCTTGTGCTGGGTGCTTGGGAAACAACAGTGAACAAAAAACCGTATCTTTGCCCTCACACAGCTCACAGTCTACAAAGTATATGTCAGGTGGTCGGAAACTGCTTCCCGAATAACTCACAATAGCCTGAAAGGTATGTGGGCAGAGGGGGTGTGTTAGCCCTGTCTCTGGGTAGTCACTCTTGACAGTTGAATCGACGGAGCTGGTGTGATACACAAGGACACCATGACCTACTGAAATGCAGGCTGCCTTAATCGCCGTCAACTGCGAGGCTGCACAGCTGTTTAATAGACTAATTACCACATGATTGTAACTCCCCCGGCACCCACAGCTGTTCCCCGTGCTGAGCGCGCCCTTCCCGTCTTCATCGCCCTGGTTAGTCCTCGTGTGTCCTTGAACACAGTGCTGCTCACACTGTCTGTGGTGAAGGACCAGGGTGGTTTTTTTCCCAGTCTGTCACATACATAGTCCTACTGTACATGAGTCATATGCAGCCCACTCTACGTGCACCTCGCCCGGCGAGTTCAACAGGACCTGGACTGACGTACGCCCTGTTCATGAGACAGGTCACTGAGCTCATGCTCAGATGCCACAACAGCGTCAGGTTACTGTAAAAACGTGTAAATGCAGTTTCTGTACTTAACCCGTCATGGACCAGGAATAGCAGTTGGCAGGCCAGTTGATTAGCTCTGCCAGCATTACTGCTCAGCTATCAACATGGTCAAGCTTGGGTGCGGCCTTCTCAGTCCAGGCGCCACGCTCCAGCCAGGCAAGACACACTCTGTGCTCCGGTGGTGGCCAGGGAGTGTTCTTACACCAGGCGTGCATGTCCATCTCTACCTGTCATGGACTTCACCTTGGGGAGGGCCTGGGCCCACTTGGTAACCCCACTGGCCAACACCAAGTAGATGACCAGAAGATATTTGTTGACTGAATGAGTAACTAAGCCCCATCCTGCTGAGGATGAATAGTCATTAACATTAAACTGATCACAATGCGCTTGACAGTCGCAACCTCTTGACAGTCGCAACCTCTTGACAGTCGCAACCTCTTGACAGTCGCAACCTCTTGACAGTGGCAATGGAAGGACCAGCTCTGAACCTGCCTAGCGCCTGCACTGTTTTCTTTCCTCCTATTTTTCTCCTGTTTCAGGATTAGGCACACTGCCCGGAAGCATTTAACTTCGTACTGTACTCTTTGCTAAACTTTTCTTGTATATAAAAGCAAGGTTTTACTCCTTAAATCTAAGAAGCTACCCATTTGCTGCTGCCACCGCCACCACCCACCCTAACCAGGATAGAAGTAGAAATTAAGACGACATTCTTGATAACCCAGACTCCGCAAACATAATCCTAATAAAGAAGGCTGAAAAATTGACAAAACCACAGTAATTAAAGATAGATCCGAAGAAAGGTGTTCGTTATTTTTACACATGGCATGTATATCCAACTCATAGCGACCCTGTAGGACAGAGTAGAACTGCCCCTTAGGATTTCCAAGGAGCCGCTGGTGGATTCAAACTGCTGACCTTTCGGTTAGCAACCGAGTTCTTAACCACTGTGCAACCAGGGCACCTGGTTTTGTGTATTCACCTTCAAATGGAACTACTTTGGTCATTTTTATGAATCCTCCTCAGCAGTGAAGTGTCGTTTTTTTTACAGGATACAGAGAAGCAAAAAGGGAAACAAGCCATGCCTGAGAAACAGGAAAATGAAATGTCTCAAGTGAAGCCGAAAAGCAGGAAACTCTTACATGTCAAGAAAGAAAGCCCAACGGATGTGAAACCCAGGTAAGGAAGAGAAATTAGCGCAGAGAATAAGGTGAATAAAAGAAGTCACTGGTAAAAGCCAAGTAATATTCGCTTGCTTGCTTGCTTGTTTTTTGCAGCAGAAGCCGTGTGCGTGCTGCATCACGGTCCTCTTGGGTCTGGATTTTCTAACAAGGCCTAATGTTCACCGTTGTTGGTTAGAGACAGCCACGTGCTTCCGGATCGGACACGTGGCAGGCAGAGTTAACCCGTTGGGAAATTTTAGGAGGAAAATTTAGGTTGATCATTTGTTCCCCGGCTGAGCACAGAGGTGGCCTTGATGGTTTAGCTACAGGTACTAATGTAACTTTCCGAAAAAAGAGCTTTGTATGTGCTGAATCACTAATCACTAACTGCTTCTGTATCTTAAAACTTGGAAGAGATTATTCTGACCTGAAAATTTTCAGGGCAGGTTTTACCTTTCAGATGTTCCTACCATAAAATGATTTCTGTTCAGTCCCCATGGGATGGGATTCTGGTAGGCCCCAGAGGAAAGGCTTACTGCAAAATGTTTTCCCAAGTAAGTGAACAAATTGAATTATTGTGTTGTTGACTAAGGTTACTTTATTTTCATTAAACCTCGGGTCATCATCTACCTAATAAACCAGTTTTAGTTTTAGCATAGTTGATAGTGCCCTTCCTAGCTCATCGTATAAAACAGACCATCAGTGTGGAAGCCAGCATTTACCTTCTTTAGTGACAAGTGAGCATTGACCCCGTAAATCGGAGGAAATAGGTATAAATTTAGAAGGAAGATAGAGCTTATTTGTCATCATTAGAATTGGCCTTAGATCTGTGGAAGGCCTGTCCTTACTCGTTCTGATTCTGGAAATAATACTTGAGCTTTGACAAAACACCAGTAACCTAGACTCTGTCCCTAGATTACACAGCCTAACTCAGCAGGAACAGTCCAGCTCCAAGGAACCAAAAACCTATAAGACATCAGTGATGGCTGCACTCTGTTTTCACCTTACCCCTGAATGTGTTCTTAACAAAAACACAGCAGGTGACAGGGAACAGCAGTGGAGTATTTGTACCTAAGTTTACTCTTTTGTGCAAATTGTTAGTTTCAGTAATTCAGTCCCACACTTCGTTAACAAATCTGGCACAGTTAGAAGGGATGTCGAACAGAGTCATGGCAAAAGAGAGAAGACAGCCTCTTTTGAAAGCAGAGGTTGGCCATACTGGGACCTCTCCTCAGAAATAAACCTGAAGTGCTAATTGGTATTGATGTTCTGGCACCCCCTTCCCAGGGGGTGAACACTAACCTTGTTTAGTGGCTAGGGATTATTCTTCTAGGCCCTTTTCGGGCTTAGGTGCTTGATCAGATGTCATATGGGGCTAATAAATCCAAATTATGGAAACACCTCGTTTTTACATTTGCAGAGATCTTGTGGGAATAGACAGTCATGCAATAACTCCTATGATCATAAATTTAAAAACATACTCTCCTAAGAGGGGCCTGGTGGCATAGTGGGTAAGAGCTCGGCTGCTAACCACAAGGTCGGCAGTTCAAATCCACCAGCCGCTCTTTGGAAACCCTGTGGAGCAGTTCTGCTCTGTCCTGTAGGGTCACTACGAGTCGGAACTGACTGGACGGTAACAGGTTAGTTGGTTTGGTGTGTGGTTCTGAGAATTAGAAAAACCGTTCCACAGATGACAGTGCCACCAGATTGGCCTTGTTTGTTGGCCCTGATGCCTGAGCTCAGTAGCTGAGAGGTAATGTTTTTATAACAGATAGTACACGGTAATCCTCGCCCTCATCCCTCTTCTACCGACTTGTGTTATGTTCAAACTTTGTTAGGAAATGATAAATTGACCCTGACAAGTCTTTGGAAGGTTTGTGAAAGTCCCCACTTGAGTTCCACTACCTGGAAGGATTTGGGTTCCCTGGTAAACCAGAAGCTAGAGTGGCCAGTTACCTTCCTGCTCAGAAAACCCACTGCCGTCAAGTTGATTCCAACTCATAGCAACTCTATAGGACAGGCTAGAACTGCCCCACAGGGTTTCCGAGGCCATAATCTTTCCAGAAGCAGATTGCCACATCTTTCTCCCTTGGAGCAGCTGATGGGTTCAAACCGCCAACCTTTCAGTTAGCAGCCGAGTGCTTAACCACTGTGCCACTAGGACTCCCCTCCTTACTGCCCACCAAGGGGCAGTGAAGGCTGATAACCTGTGTTCTCTTGATGTGCCGTTAAGTGGTGTGCTCTGAATCGTCTTTTTAAGTGGTCTTTTGTGACTGGAGAAATCCGTGTGCAGCCTTAGCCTCCTCAACTCCTTAATCTAACCTCTGGAGTCTCACTGATCTGGGGGTTTCTGAACTCAGGGATAGAAGTATCGAGAGTCAGAATTCATTAGTGCATCAGTCAAATATGGGGTAAAACTAAGACTGATTTTTCTTTTTTTTTTAATAATCAGAAGTGTTTCCTGTCTGAGTAGATTGACTCCCGGTCTGCCGCTGACTTATGACAGCACGCGCCTTGTGGCTGTCGTTCAGGTAGAGTCAGTGCTGGTTCCAGCATGAGTGACATAGGAAATTACTGTCAGCTCATAACAGGTGCTTTCCGTGTGCTGGTCTTAGTCATCTAGTGCTGCTACAACAGAAATACCACAGGAGGATGGCTTTAACAAAGAGAAATCGATTTCTTCACAGTAAAGTAGGCTAAAAGTCCAAGTTCAAGGCATCAGCTTCAGGGGAGGGCTTTCTCTCTCAGTCAGCCTTCTCATCAGGGTTCCCCCAGACTAGGAGCTTCTCGGCACAGGGACCCTGGCTCCAAAGGACATGCTCTGCTCCTGGCACTGCTTTCTTGATGGGATGACGTCCCCTGTCTCTCTGCTAAGTTCTCTTTTATATCTCAAGAGATTGCCTCAGGACACAATCCAGTCTTGTAGATTGAGTCCTGCCTCACTAACACAACTGCCGTCCATCCTCTCTCATTAACATCATAGAGGCAGGATTTACAACATACAGGAAAATCACACAATACCGGGAATCATGGCCCAGCCACATTGATACACACGTTTCTGGGGGGACATAAGTCAATCCATGACACCATATATCTGAAGGAAACATACATTTTTTAAAAAGATGTATCATTAATAAGACATATTATTACTTTCGTTTGGAAGCTTTATCTGACTGGGAATAAATTTTTATGTTGTATGTCATCCAGAAGGCTATTCTCATATTAATAAAATGTGTGGGCTTAGTTCACATTTACTTCATCAAATATTACTTTTAAAATATTATCAGTGTTATTGGAATGCTGTGTCATGTCATCTCTAGACCAGAAGACTAAGTGAGAAAAGGTTAAAGAATTCCTCTTACAGGTACGCTGACAAAGCCAGAGGAGTGCTTAGACAAGGTCTTTGATTTCACAGCCCCATCCTGTCCCACTCCCAAAAATGAAAAACCGTTTCCTGGGAGTGTGTAGCATGGAGCTGCAATGGCAGAGATCCAGTCTAACCGTTCTTTCCCACATCAGCACCGTAGACCCTTAGAAGCTGTATTTTGGGTGGAAGATGCCGGAAGATGGGGGTTAGATCTCAGGAACTGCACAGGCTTCTGCAGAACCAGGGAGGGCCAGGCAGCCCTTGTTTAAGACACCAGCTCCCCGTCCACCCTTTTCCTGTTTGTTTGATGTGTTTGTAGAACTTAAATGTAACCCTCTAAAGGAAGCCAGGGCAGTTCAGTAGACAGAATCCTCCAACTCTGTGATCGTTTGCTTGCATAGCATGCCGCAGGTCGGGGCTGCAGGTCATGAACCCCCTTATTACAGCTCCTCCAGACCCATCAGCACAGCGGGACCCCTGCTCTGTCCCGGTCACACCCCCAGCCCCTCTCCCCGCTCTCTGTCTCCCTCCTCCCCGGACAGAGCACGCCCGTGTGTGATGGGGTGAAGATAAAGCTGGGCGTCCGGACCCCGTTCCTGTTTCCCCTTTAGCAAGAATCACTTCAGTGGGCTCTTACACATTTTATTCAGAAAATTAAAAAAAGTTTTCTTAATAGAGATCTCCTGGCTTAATTTAGGAAAACATGAATGATCAAAAATAAGACAGGACAGTTGTCTGGCACCTTTTTTCTTAAGAACCAATTAATGTTAAACAGTAGCACAGATTTACACTTTGTATAAACAGACATTCTTCTCCACTTATAAATGACTTACTTAAAAATAACTCACACACACACCACCTCTGCCACCTTCACCACCAGAGAGCTGCCTGTCAGTGTCATGGTGCCCGCTTATTTGGAAAGATGATGTTTTAAAGACCCGGTAAGTCAGAAGTGGGACTGAGCCTTACAGGGCTGTCAGAGCATGGCCTCCCCCGAGCAGTACATTTTTCTCACTTCAGTTTGTTTGCCTGCCTAAAATTCTACTCATTTCTGTTAACAAAGACCCTTTGGGTTTTTTGGTTAGCTCTTTTACTAATTCCAAATATAATAGCTCTTATAGAAAATTTGTGAACTATACAGAAATAAAAGAATGAAAATGTTCATAAATAGCCTCATTTAAAATTATGTCTGAGAGCACACTTGACATGTTATTCTGTTACCTTTATTTTGTTGTCATTTGTTTTGTGGGGGTGTTGGATCCCTGGAAGGTTGAAACCATTCTGACATTTGAAATCTGTTGTAAATTAGTACTTTGGCTTGTCCCTGTCCTAAAACTAGCAGAAGTCGGCTGCTTTGCAGGAATGAGGGTTTGGGTGGCGACGGAAGGAAGATGATGTGGTGCATAAACAACTTGAAGGAGGGGGCTGGGGGAGGCCTGAGCGCCCTGTTAGAGGCAGAAGTGCGCAGAAAGGTGAAAAATGCCCAACGTCCATTTTAGAATATCTCCGTCAGCAGGTAAACTTTGTAGGTTCTTCATGAAAACCAAGCTATCAGCACAGCCTTGGACTGACAGCTTTTCAGCCACTACCAAGTGCATAGGGGAGACTGCTGCTAAGGTTTGGAAGAATTCTTCTCAGCCTTCACCGGAAAATGTCCTTCTTGGACCAGTTAACTTAGCAGAGGCCTTCCCAAGACCATGACTTGGTCTTGCTGGGCATTACAAGAAGCAGCTTTATAAAAACTGTCTTTGTACCCATTTTGTTCGCAATTTTACCTTCTATTAATCATTGACAGTGAATTTCTCTTAGAGATTACCGCAGAAAAACTGCTCCTCTCCAAGCAAATGTTCAGGTTTTCTTCACCGGGCTGTGGAATCTTAAATTGTCCCTTCCGGCTTCCCATTTTGCCTTGGTTGACAGGACGTTCAGAGACAATGAATTGTCGTATTTATACATGTTTATTATCTTAAGCTTACCTCAAAATCTTTTAGAAAGCATGTATGCTCTAAATAAATGAAAAGAGGATTTAAAATTTTTGTCTAGGATTAGTTCAGGAATAAGGAAGAAAATCTATCTCACCCCAAGCCCCTAGACCTTAGGCAAATAGCTCAGTCTTGCAGCCCTGCAGTGAGGTCAGTGGGTTTTTGTAGGTGACCCACGAACTTAGTCCTGGTTCATTTTATAGTTTCTATAAGAAAAATGTGTTCAGACCTTTGAACAACAGCAGAACCTTTGATGTTCTTGAGTCTAAGACCTTTCAGAATCACCATATTCTAGAATCCCACTGGTAGTCTGGATGCTGGGAGAGACTTATCCCCAAGCAAAATGACTGCCCTTACCCCCAAACCCCAAAATGGCAGGTTTGCTCTAAGGTCTTTATACCCGTTGCCTGAGGTAGGTGCTCCGCGCGTTCATTGCCTGAGGTAGGTGCTCCGCGCGTTCATTGCCTGAGGTGGGTGCTCCGCGCGTTCATTGCCTGAGGTAGGTGCTCCGGCGCGTTCATTGCCTGAGGTGGGTGCTCAGGCGCGTTCATTGCCTGAGGTGGGTGCTCCGCGCGTTCATTGCCTGAGGTAGGTGCTCCTGAGCGTTCATTGCCTGAGGTAGGTGCTCAGGCGCGTTCATTGCCTGAGGTAGGTGCTCTGGCACGCTCCATGTTATCAAATAACGGGCTTCATTCAGTTCGTTGTCAGCACTCTGAGGAGCCAGGATTAAATCTGCAAGAGCAGAGTGTCCACCTAGCAGTCTTAGAAATGCTTGGAATGCAAGCAGTCCTAAATCAGGACCATGGTTAGACAACACGGAAGCCAGATCAGTAAAGCAGGCTATTGAAATTGTAATTACAGTACTAATGACTTCTTGCCTCTGCTCCAGAAACAAAGTTGAATTTTCTATCATGATTGTCTTTCAGTTCTTTAGAGCTGCCATATACACCCACATTGGAAGGTAAACAACGTAGAAATCTCCCCACCAAGATTCCTCTTCCGACTACACTGACGAGTGGATCCAAATCACGAAATTCCCAGAAAACAAAAGGTACTCTTATTTTGGTCATACAGATACTTTCATGACTGACTGTACTAATAGTTATTAGATACAAATTATTAGTAATCGGTTAGTAGTTAAAAGTCACAGAAGGCTGAGACTATGTTCTCATTCCCATTAGAAGGTTCATGGAAATACGCCTGAAAGAAAGGAATTATCCTCAGTTCACAACTTCCTTTTCTGATTTTTGTACAGGTACAAATAAGTTACTGGATACCAGGCCACCCGCCCTGGCCAAATTCCTCCCCAACAGTCAAGAACCAGGCAACACTAGTAGCTCAGAGGGTGAGAAAGACTCTCCTCCGCCAGAGTGGGATTGCATGCCCGTTCACAAACCCGGCAGCTGTAAGTATGGTGATTGAGAAAGTGAGGTGCCCCCCACCCCCCGCCCGCCCACCACCGGCCACAGCCCACCCACCCTCTAAGCATGAAAACTCTGCAGGAGGGATATTGCTTTAAAAGGAGACCGAGCATCGGTGGTGTGCTGGAGTCCGTTGTCGAATGGTCTAGCTAACCTGTCGGTAGCTTCAGATCACCAAGGTGGAAGTGTTTACACCGAAGAAGTCAAACAGTGCACGTCGAGGCTTTCTTTCCAGGAAGCCATATACCAGCACACCACTGCCCAGTGTACAAATGGAACCATCTATCTGGAGTAGCTAATCATCCAAAGAATTGTTTGGTTTATAAAGACAGTAGCTCAGCAATCCTTTACCTACCGAGTTTCTCATATACTTTTTCCCACTACTTTTCTTGACCTTGTTTCTCAGATATTATCTGCCGTGAATCAAGACAGTAAGTACAATCTGCTAAAATAAGAGAGAGGTGCTTATGCTAGAAATACTCATGACCTTCATAGAAGACAAGCAGAGACAAGAGCAGGCAAGGTCCTGATTCCAGGGATTGGGGGTCAAGAGAGGTCCAGGCCTTAGGACTGATTTGTCTACACTCAGTGCTATGTGATGGAGCTTACACTTGGCCTGCTTGCACTAAGGGGAAAATGAGCAAAGAAGAAGATCAGAGGTGAAGTCATGAGTGAACAGCAAGATCCTTTAAGGTGAAGGGGTATGGACGTGAAGGAGGGGCAGTTAAAGCACTCAGTAGGTTGAATGAGGGCCAGGAACCTGAAATTCAGGTGAGGTGTGCATTAAATGGCCTTGTTTTACCTTTTCACCTGTGTAAATAGTCTGGGAAGAGAAAACTTGCTGTTAAAAGCCTGTAGCCCCCTATTTGCCATGAGACTTTCTGGCACCTTTTAGTACTGTTTTTGCCTGGAGTGAGGTAAAATCCCACATCCTTGGTCATTCAGGAAACCTAGAGCAAGTCTCTGAGTAGTCGTTTGCCCAGGCTGAATACCAGTGATAAGTACCTTTGGGTTCCTTAGGTCCCCTCAGAGGGTCAGCTGGGCTTCGGCTTCGGCTTCGTCATTTGGGAAGTTCCCCATTAACCACATGCCACTTACACCACCAAAGAGAACTGTTTGCGCATCAGGAATACAGCGTTCCAGGGGACGTTTCATAGGGCTCTTCTGAGGCTCTGCTGGAGTGAGTATCAACAGAAGATCCAGAGCTAGTGTCCCGGGAAAGAAGAAGTGTCAGCCAGACAGCCTTCAAGGCAAGACAGCTGGTGGTGGCAGTGTTGCCCCCGGGCGGCCCCTGAGGTACGTGTCGGTGCCATTCTGGGCTGGAGAGAGAAAGACAGCATCCATCCCCGTGGGCCTGGAGCTCCAGCCTCAGGAGGGGAGAACCGCGGGGAGCGGCCGGCAGATGGTCCAGAGAGGAGAACACGGGAAGAGCACAGTGCGTGGGCCCATCGGCAAGGCTGGCTGAGAACACAGTGCCTCAGGCCCGTGTTTACATCCTGTGTCAAGATGGCTTTGCCCGCTGGACAAGGTGCACTGTTCTTCTCGAAGGCCCACGTCTGCAGAATTGTTTTCTGTTTCTCCAGCCAAGAGATACCTCACACTGGTCCCCAGCCCTGTGGATTGTTCTGTTTTCACCACCGGGCTTACTAGAAAGTTCTAGCAGGGCTCCACTATGTACATAAGGTGTCTGTATGAAGTCAGTAAGCTTCAGACCAGTGCAGTCTGTCACATGCAGCCCTTTTGCCCCACTACCCCCACTTTTCACTCCTTTTCTCCCCCCCTCTTCCCTTTGCTGTTCGTCTTGCTTAGACCTTCTCAGGGCCCCCAAGCACCTGATGGCAGTGCTTAGCTCACGGGTGCTCCCCAAAGGCTAAGCATTTGTCCCACCCCAGACTGTTCCGCCAGGGCTGGCGTTAGTCACAGTGGGCAGCTTTGCAGCCTGTGCATACAGATCTGCCTGTCCCACGTAGCATGGGGCCCTGTACAGTATGGAGTATTGAGAAAATTCTCCTTGAGTAATTTCATAATTTAAGAAAACTAAAAATACACAGGTTATTAAAAGGAGAGGCAGGTAGAAAGCCACAGAGGAGAGATTTAATACTATTTGAGGGAAAAGTTCTCTGATGGCACCCGCCCTGTGCTGTGTCTGCCCCGTCTTCTCTCTACTTCAAGCGTTATTCCAGAGGTCTCTTTCTCACATTTCTTAACTTTCCCGGTTTCATCCCATCAACGTTTACTGAGTGCTTCTGCAGCACTGGGTCTGTGGAACACAACCAGTGGAGGAGAGCTGCCCCAGAGAGGGCACAGCGCACACCGCCCATGAGGGCCGTGCCTGGAGCAGGGGGTCCAGAGAGCACAGCGCACA